TAGGACTAACTCTAGGGGAACAATTCCAAAATTGACAGATAATAGGAAGATTCTCGGATACTTTTTCAGAAGTTAAAAAAATCGTTCGTTTGATCTGATATTCAGAAAATTATCGGGTGTTTGATTCGAATTTTGGAAATTTGTCAAATGTTTGATACGAAAATTATCGAATGTTCGATCCCAAATTCGGAAAAAAAACTCTGAATATTTTCGAACGTTATATTCGAAAATCGTAGAAAACTCTAACTTTTTTGGATGCTTTAATTGAAATCTGTATATTATTATAATAACTTTAATCTTTTATTGTTATAAACAAGTACAAATGTCGCTAATTTCGGCCGGGTGTAACTTTTTATACCCTTCACCTCGTGGAGTGCATTCAAAACTCCCTAAGTCGATTGGGACAATGAGAAAATTCGGTTAGAAATGTTTTATTACCGAAAAAGAAGCACAACATTTACTTGGGGTTATATCAAAACTGCAACCCTTATATACATCGCAGAATGTTTGTATATAAGTCAGTTTTCCAGAACCCTTTGTACCAAATTACAGCCACTTCGTCTGGAAAATGCGACTATTGTCTTTCAAAATACCGAAAATGGGATGGTACTGTTCTATGGGAGTTATATCAGACCGTAAACTCACATTGATAATTTTTCGTAGGAAGAATTGACACCCCATAAGAATTTGATAAATCAAATAAAAACGAATTCGGTTGAAAAACATGCCCAAATACCCCAATGCTGATCATTTTTGGAAAGGAATTTTTTTACTCAATGATTATCCAAAATATAAAATTACAGATAATTTGGTTAATGCAGCTTTATATGGGAGATTCCTTAAAAAGTGAACCAATATTGATAATTTTTATTAGGAGGATTTGACACCCTATGGGAAGCTGTAAAATCAAATTAGAGCCAATTCAGTTAAATAACGTGCCTAAAACTATCAAAAAACAGGGTTACCGGAAACATGGACCAATGTTGATAATTTTTGGAATGAGAATCCAAAATATTAAATTGTTCCCAAATTGGTTGAAACATGTGCTCAAGCTCCCCACAATACCGATCTTTGGGATGTAGGATGTAGAAGATTAATTAGCTTGAAACATGTGCCCAAAACCATTAAAATACCGAATGTTGGGGGGTATTGTTTTATGGGGACTACATCGAAACCTGAGCCAATATTAAAAACACTGTGCTATAAAAAAAATATTCAGGGGTTCTAATGTACCAATTCTGGACCACGAAAATACCTTTGATTTTTCTGGGTCACTTCGAAAATTAATTTTATAACGGTAAATGTTGAGAAAGACGTGGTTTCATAGATTTTAAATTTGAAAAACTGTCAAAAATTCCATAACCCCAAATTATTGAGGGGTACCGTTATATGGGCAGGAGTAATATCAATCCAAGTGTAAAAAATTCCAATCCCAAGTATTGCGATCTCTATCGTGGTTTCAACAGACACACAGATATACAGACGGGCACACATAAATCGACATAGAATTTTATTTTGAAGATTTTATGTTCTTTAAGGGGTAGAGCTGTAAAAAGATATGCAAAAGTATTTTAGTAGATATTTCTTGATTTATAGTACTTGTACGAACTTTTTGGAGTGGTTTTAATGGTCTGTTCCCGTACAGGAAGAATCTACTAGTTTTTACTACGATAACGAATTTGCCTTTATGATATCGAAAAATATAGTAAAATCGAGGAGATTCTTGCAGTACGGGAACAGACCAATATAGCTGTCCATGGTGCAATGTGTCCTCCTTTACGATTGTTGAAATTTTTTCGCGTTTCTGAAAAACGTACGGGCTCTAAACTAAATTATATTGTTCGTTTTTGGATAATACTTTTAAGGATCACGGCGTATTTATAATTTTGTTTTTAATTTTTTGGTTCTACATTACAACAACATGTTTTGCATTTATTTGCACCAACAGCTCGGCTACCTTATTTTGTCCGATAATATCGATAGCCAAAACTATCAATCGATATTCAATTTAAAAAAAAGAATCGATACTATCGATATTGCCATGGATTTCTTTACAGCTCTATTAAGGGGTCTCCGGGGAATATTTCGATGTGTTGCAACCGAAATGACACTTTTATTCCTACAAAAAAATGAACTACTTAACATGTATTGGTATCATGGATAAGGTGATAGACGCATTAGAAACGTTGATAACAAATGTGAAAAAGCCCATAGGTAAACCTTATACAAGAAAATCAATTTCGTCCAAAGTAATACATTGAGTTTTATTACAGAAAATAATCGAACTGAAATCAATATTTTGAAGTCTATTCAAAGTTCAGTAATTGTGTATCTCATTCACACTATTTAAAAATCTATGCCGAAGTCTATAGAGGATTTTTAAGAATTATAAATGCAAAACATTTTTTTATATTTTTAATTTGAATATGTTCAAGTCTTCCTAATCCATATAAAAGTTTTGTTTAAATATAAACAGTTTAAATTATAATCTTCAACAAGTGAAAAAGCGTTAAGTTCGGCCGGGCCGAACTTTGGATACCCTCCACCATAGAAATATTGACAAATTTTTGAAATGAAAACATAGGGAACATACGTATAACTACAATTCGTCCAATCGATTGTTGTAAACCAAATAGAAAATTCAGCAATTTCAATGGGGGTTTTCCTAAAATCTGAAAACCCTAACATGTTGACATATATTATTAACGCATGGTACGGTGAAACATGTGTATAAAATGCTGAAAATATTCCAATTTAGAGGGCAATATTATATATGAGGCATACTAAAGCGGGACCAATATTGACAACATTGTGTAGGAATTAGCAACTACTTGGTGTTTTCATTATATAAGGGGGTTAGACCTAATTAAGGGCCGATGTAGCTCAAGTTCCAAGCTGATATTTTAGTTTTGAATCCCAATACCGTCCACCACGCTAAATATTAAATAGGTAGGATATTTTATATAGGACCTGGTCCTAAATGTGGGTCGATACAGTTCATTCTCAAACCTCACGTTTTAGATTTTATGTCGATATCCTCCGAGAGAAAAATTATTACAACATATGGCTAAATCGACTAAATCGTTTTAGAATTCCATACTATGAGGGGTATGAAATGAAAATTTCGTCTACCGAATATCCCCCCTACTATGGTGGAATACAGCTATATGGGATAACCCCAATACACGGAAAAAATCAGCTAACTATTTTAAAATAAAAAGGGGGTTATATGGGGACTACCTCTAAAAGGGAGGTGAATATTAATATTTTTTGGTAGGGAGATTTGTTACCATATACGACTACAAAATACCAAATTACAGCGAATTCGGTTGAAAACCGTGCTCAAGAACCCCAAAATACCGAAAATTGGGGGTACCCTTATATTGGGGGCTATCAGAAAAAGTGGACCGATGTTTATAATTTCTAGTTTAGATATTTGGCGCCAAATAAGAACCCAATGTACCAAATTTCAGCGAAATCGGTTGAAAAACGCGCACAAGATCCCCAAAATACCGAAAATTGGGTGTACCCTTATATGGGGGCTATCAAAAAAAGTGGACCTATGTTTAAATTTTTTTGTAGATATTTGGTACTAAATAAGAACCAAATGTACCAAATTTCAGCGTATTCGGATGAAGAACGCGCTCAAGATCCCCAAAATACCGAAAATTGGGGGTACCCTTATATGTGGGATATCCGGAAAATTGAACCTATATTTATAATTTTTGGTGGGAACATTTGCTACCCATTAAGAACTCAAACTAACAAATTTCCGAGAATTCGGTGGAAAAACGCACTCAAGAACTTCAAAATACCGAAAATTTGGGGGTACCCTTATATGGGGGCTATCAGAAAAAGTGGACCTATGTTTATAATTTTTTGCGTAGATATTTGGTACTAAATAAGAAGCAAATGTACCAAATTTCAGCGAATTCGGTTGAAAAATGCGCTCAAGATCCCCAAAATACCGAAAATTGGGGGTACCCTTATATGGGGGCTATCCGAAAAAATTAACCTATATTTATAATTTTTGGTGGGGACATTTGCTACCCAATAAGAACTCAAAGTACCAAATTTCAGCGAATTCGGTTGTAAAACGAGATCAAGAACCTCAAAATACCGAAAATTGGGGGGTACCCTTATATGGGAGGTATGCCTAAACGTGGACCGATATATCCCATCTTCGAATTTGACCTGCCTGCAGACAAAAGACGACTCTATGCAAAATTTCGGCGATCTATCTCAATTCGTTTAGACGCTAGAGTGATTACAACAGACGGACATGCATAAATCGTCATAGAATTTTACGCTGGTCAAGAATATATATACTTTATAGGGTCGGAAATGAATATTTCGATGCGTTACAAACGGAAAAACAAAACTAATATACCCTCCATACTATGGTGGAGGGTATAAAAATAAATAATCGTATATCCAAGACCCGAGCGAAAATAATTCCCACATTAGTGTACCAACTGGAATATGAGGATAATTTATTTTATATCTCTTTTTTATTCCTGCAAATTTTAGCTATTTTACAAAGTCAGCTGAAAAACACGTTGTTTTTGTTGTTTGAAATAAATGTTTTCAAATTTGTATAATCTTAAAAATAAAGAAAAAATATTTTTTTTGTTTTGCTCTAAAGACATGAATCTAAATAGTTTTCTTCTTTTTCTTGGTGTTGTTGGATTTTTATATTCTGGATTCTTCGAATTGAATTTGTTTTAATTTTTTGCTTAATACATTCTTAATGTATTTTTTTTAAATAATTTTGTGTGTTTGTTGTAATTTGGCATTTTTTGTTTGGTTTGTAGCAGTGTTTGTCTTTTGTTCTTCTTTCATAGTGTGTGTGTGTTTCCCGGTTTCTGTCTGCAGCACCTTTTGAGCGGTCACGTCTTTTTTTGTGAGTGTATGTGTGTGTGTTTTGGTTTTTTTCTTATAGCTGCCTGCTCCACAGCCCATTCCACCCACCGACTCCTTTCGTTCCATGCCATTTCTACAGATCTTATTGCACCCAGGATGAGGGTGCCCACAACGGTTCCGTTTCAACTCTTTGCACGATATTTACAAGCTTTTCGAATGCTGTCACCAAATCGGCATTGATAATTTCTTCATCGAAAAAGTGGCCATAGAGGAAATCGATGCGAATCGATGATTTAATCATGTCATTGAATTCTTCATCCTGGAATGGAGAAAAATTAAAAAAATTAAAGCAAATTCATTAGGAGTCTTTATAATTAAAAATATCTACGGGGACGTTTTAAATAATTTGGAATATAGAGAACTTAAGGTTATTCTAAGCTCTATAAAGGTGTTTTTCACAATATCGTAAGTCCTGCATAATGTCTTTTGGATTTGCAAAAAAAAAAAAAAATGGGAACAGGTGTTTCAAGAATATGTAACAAAAAGTGGTGCATATTTCAAAGGACTTAAAAAGGCGTGGCTATTTTAAATGAGAAGATAGATACCAAGGAACGGCTCTGATTGGCTTTAACATCATCTTAGTTGTGGACACAGACCTCTTCGCGGTGTCACCTGGGGTAAAAAAATTGATTGAAGCGTCGGTCTAGTTGCCCACACTCGCCCACAAAACAAAAACCCCCAATGCTGACGACCCCCGCAAACATATAAAGGACCACGATCTGCAAATCTGCACTTGGAATGTGCGCAAGTTAAACAGAACAGGCGCAGTTTTCGCTTTGTCGGATGTACTCAAGAAGTACAAATCCGATATTATTGCCTTACAGGCAATGGAAAGGGACTGACGTAATTAAATCAGATGATTACGCCTGCCATGAAATGAGACATGAATTTGGCTGCGGATATATGGTTAACAGGAGAACAAACGACCTAGTCTCCAGATTCACTCCAGATGATGAGCGAATTGCCATAATCCGTATAAAAGCGAAGTTCTTCTATATCAGCCTTATTTGCGCCAATGCTTTGACGAAGAAAAAGATGGATAGACCATCTTTGTCTTCCGTCGCTTATGACCGCTGCTCTGGCCATGACATTAAAATTCTGCTAAGAGATTTTAAATCTGGTCCCACCGTCGGAAAATTCAGCTTTCATGAAGAAACATTAGACAACGGCATGAGGTTGATTGCCTTCGCCGCAGCAAAAAACTTGGTAGTTAACATCACCAGATTCAAGCATCTCGACCTGTAATTCTCCTGATCAAGCAACGAGAAATCAAATTGACCATGTTGTGATAGACGGAAGGCATTCATCCAGTGTATTAGACGTTCGATCGATCCGAGGAGCGAATATCAATTCGGACCACAACCTTGTAGCTGCCAAGGTTCGCACTCGTCTTAATGTTGCAGCAAAGGTGCGATCTAACACAACACGGAAACTCGACTTCGAAAAACTCGATGTGAAAAACGAACGTATATGGCAACCCTGCAAACAGTAGGAACACACACTTTTTTACATCCTGCTGGAAAAGGTCATATAAGATGTAAAGGTGTACAGAACACACATGTTACTGGCCTACGCCGATGACATAACACAATGGGTCGAACATTGCGAGCTGTAACAGTCACCTTTGTATAAATTGAGAAGAAGTCTGCTAAAATGGGTCTAGCAGTAAATGGCGAAAACACGAAGCTGATGGTTTCAGCACGCAAGACGTCTAGTAGACTCCGACCAACTTTGGAACTTGAGAACTTGAGAACAGCTTCGAGGTAGTCAACGATTTTATGTACCTCGGTACCGCCATAAATAAAACTAATGACATCAGTTTTGAAATTCGGAGGAGGATAGTGTTGGTCAACAAATGCTACTATGGTCTATGTAAGCAATTTAAGAACAAGGTTACTACTCGCCAGACCTATCTCACACTCTACATGACCTTGATACCACCCGTGCTGTTGTATGGATCTGAATAATGGGTAGAGAAAAATTCTCCGAAACATCTATGAGCCGATCTGCGTCCACTGTGAATATCGCCGTCGAATGAACCATAAGTTATACCATCTATTCTCGGACATCGGCATAGTCAGAGCTGCAGCGACTACGATGGCTAAGTCATGTTGTGAGAATGGATGAGGATGCCCCAGTTCAAAAGGCACAAAAAGTGAGCTAACTGATGGTTCACGTATTCGATGGAAGATCAAGTGGAAGACAACATCTCGGAAAATGGTCTTTCAAATTGGATAAGATGCGCAAAAGACCGACGCGCTTGGAAATCTTTTTAAGCTCGGCTATGGGACAACCGTTCTGTCACAAGCCAGCTAAGTAAGTAAACAAGGGGCGTGGATATTTTAAAGTCCTTTAAAAGAGACGAGGATATTTCAAAGGACTTTAGAAGACGCGTGGATATTTAAAAGCATTTAATGAGGAGTCGACACTTTAAAGAACTTAAAGAACATTCTAATGCTTCTATATAATTCCAAGGCCATGGATTTGCTAGGATCACTTTGAAGCCTCTATTGTACCTTTTTAATATTATTCTAAACAATCTTCAAACAATAGTATTATTGATACACTAAATACTAACCGTAAAACCTCTTGCATTCGATTCATCAAATGTCGATTTGGCTCTCGAATCTGTACGAGTCTTCTTCAGTTCATCGAATTCCGGTGGTTTAATGTGTATAAGGAAGGGTTTCAGTTGTACTGTTCGCAAGGCCTTAATCGCTTGATAATGGGGACTCAGCAGACAAACACAGCCGGCATTGACTATTGATTTGACACTTTCCGCTGAGGTGCCATACAAATGGCCCTTGTATTCACCGTGTTCAATGAATTTGCCAGCCTCAATGTCGGCTTCCATTTTTTCGCGGCTAACGAAAATGTATTCACGACCGGCCACCTCACCGGTGCGCATGGGACGTGTGGTATCTGCAATAGAGAAAAACGTTAATAAACATTTTTCAAGAATGGTGATTCCTCTATTTACTTACATGGTACTGGACTACGATATTTCTCAGGATCACGAGCGATTAAACGTCTCCTCAGCTCGTTGCGTCCGACGCCGGGCGCCCCAATTAATACCACCGGTCTATAAATGCCTGGACGTGGATATAGTTTGGCTACTTCTTCATAGGTGGCAATCAGCTCCCGATCGAAGTCGTCGTTCTCTGTTAAATCGTACATGATTTTTTTAGTTTTCGGTTGTCGACACGATGAGGTACTACTGCTAGAACGTAATCTAGGTGAACCAGGCGGTGTGGAACATATGGAGGTACATGAACCCTCTGAATTGTGATGATGATGTTTTTTTGTATGTGGAGCAGTGATGTTAGGAGCAGTTTTTAGGGAATTTCAGAATTTGTTGGTTTTAGTGGGCGAAGTTTAAGGTTTGTTTTTTTTGCGGAAGAATCAGAATAGGTTTCAGAGTTAGGTTGGGAAGCGGATTTTTTTTTTGTAAAACCATGCATTTGAAAATAAAATAGAATGATTAATGACAATGAGATGACAATTAAAAATGTTAATGATTAGAACTATTTACACATTTAGATGAAATGTTTGGCAAATATTTACATTGAGAGCTTTAGTTGTTGAAATTTTAAGTTTTGAGTTCTGAAGTGCCCTTAGACAATATTTATCTATAACTACTCACTTTTCGATTCACCATCGCCAATTTCACGTTGCGTCCGTTCGTGTATAATACGTCTTTCTTGCAAGGCACGACTGGGAATTAGACCGGCACGAGCTGTACGCTCAGATTCGCGACGAGCTTGCCACCAGTATGAATCATCCTGTAATCAAAAATATAAAAAGTCAGTTTTGGGCGAAGTTCGGAAACGTATTTTATAAAAATAAAGTTCTGAACATGTTTATAACAAATTAACTTTTCAGATCCTAAAATCACATTTACATATACGGTTTTAAGTAGACCCTATTAAAGAAATCCATAAATACCCCCTAACTATTGCCCCCTAACTTTAATCATGATTTAAGTGTCTATCAGCCGATTTGATACATAAAAACATTGTTAATTTGCTCCAAAATGGTTTGTTTGAACAATTGTTCCGCTTTTGCATTTGACAACTATTGAATATAAAATCATGTTAAAACGATGTTAAGTTAGACCCGGTCGAACTTTTAATACCCTCCAACATTAGCCTGGCATTCAAAATATGTAAAATTAATGTGGGCTCCCAAGATGATTAATAGTGTTGTATGGGGATATACAAAAACGGGGCTGTCAAATTCCACTACCTAAAATTATCAATATTAATGATAATTTTAGGTAGTGGAATTTGACAACCAATGAGAATACAAATTCCCAACATACCGAATATTGGGAGTATCGTTATATGGGGGCTACCCGGAAACTTGGGTCATTTAACAATTTTTGGTATGATAACCCAAAATGCTTAATTGCAGCCAATTCATTTGAAAACGTGTTCTAAATCCATAAAATGTCGAATATTTCGGGGTACTGCTATATAGGTACTACCCTGAAACTTAGGTCAATGTTAATAATGTTTAGTATAGAGATGTGTTATGAAATAAGAACCCAAAATAACAAATTACAACCAATTCGGTTGAAATACGTGTCGAAAATCGGTTAAAACCGAATATTGCTGGTTACCATTATATGGGGGCAACACGGAAATTTGAATCAATAATAATAATTTTTGGTACGGACATTTTCTATAAAATGAAGCCTAAAAGTACTAAATTACAGCCAATTCGGGAGCTACACCAAAACGTGAAGCGATTTAAACTCAAACCCCGCTAAAAAAGTGGTTAAGCGCCCATTAAAATCCCCCAATATAACCATAGAATTGTGTGAAGGAAATAAAAGGACCTAATCGGTTAAATTTGAAGGTAATGTGATAGGGCCTTGTTCCGTTGACCAAAATTCCCTAAAACAAAAGTGGAAAGTGCGAAGAAGAATAAAGTTACAGAGCAGAGCCTGAATAAATTATCACCGACGTGTTTCGTTTATCTGCTGACAAGTCACGCCCCATCGTTATCCTGCGATCTCCTAAAGGTGTGTGTGTTTTGATATCTGTAGACGAGGGTAACAAGACAAACACAAAGCCAATGAGCAAAAATGGAGTTTAATTACAGCAGGTGAAGAGCAGCATCATCTTCCGACACATGCAGGGACTCAAACTTCCGAGTCTGAATATGAAGATAAGTCTAACAGCCGTTTTAAAATGCCGGGGAATCGAAGATGCTTATATTATGGTAGATAAAGTGAGCACGAATATCGCCAAGCTCTCAAAAAAAGAACAATGTGAAATGGAGAAACATTTCATTCCTCCACTTCCTACTACAGCTTTTTTTTGCAAATAGAGAGCAGGACTTCTATGAGAATGGCATTATGAAGTTACCTTTAAAAACCATACACCAATACGGTGCATATTTGGAAACTCTGAAGCATGTTAAATAAAGTCCTATAGTTCATATAAAAATAAAGGATTTCTTTTTCCCCAAACTAATATTAAGGGGAACCCCCCATTCTCGGGGTCAACAATTTTTTTGATTTAATTCGATTCTATGCTAATTCAAGAATGAGCCTACAAAATTTTAAGTGAAAATCTCAAGAACTCTTGAAAATATAGCCGATTTATTGTGTCAGCATCAAGTGACGGCTAAAGGGCTTCTCAAAGTTTAAACGCGTTTTTCTCTTTTGCGAGTGGCGGGCACGATAACTCAAAAACTAATAACCCAATCGATTTTTACACGTTTCTCTGTGAGTATATAGCTATCGTATGAACTAGGATAAAGCCAATCGGTGAATACCTTCCTTATTTTTTAACTTGGTTTTGGTCAAAAATCGGCGATTTTCCAAAAATATTTTTTCGAAGTTCCGCCATTTTGTTAATTTTAGAGCGAACTCAATAATCCTAGTTCATACGAGAGCCAGACATGTACTATTTGTAACACCGTTGGAATTTTCGGATTCCGATGTTCCAGTGAGGAGTTATCATGCCCGCCATCAAAAATAAGGACTTTTCTTTAATTACAAAAAACAACAACAAAATAATAAGAAATATTTTTAGTAAATTATTTTTCTTCTCTTTTTAAGTGGTTATTTATACTCTTTCGAGTCGAGCTTGATGATCTAAGTTTTGCAATAAAGAGGAAAGTCAGGAGAAGAACCTACGTACCCACCATTATGCGACGCGTTTCGCCGTTGGTTAAGCGGCTCATCAGGCATATTGGGCTATGTGGCTTTACAAATGTCGTACGTTGATAACTTGTATTTATTCCGTCCTGATGCGAAACTTGCATATGCGAATTAAATTCAAATTTGTCAATGTTCGACATTTGTCTTCATTCTAGGAACAGTCCTTTTCAAAGCAGATTTTTGTTGTAGCGATGGATAATTAATCCACACACCTACAATTGCTTCCTGGTATACACATGTTTTTTGCGCAACCGTTTTGGAAGTGTTGATGGCTCAGAACGTTAAGCTTGGGAGGTTAAAATCAATACACATACTTCATTTACATAAACAAATTCGGAAGTTTATCTCATAGACATTGTTTTAATATTTTGACACCCATGGTTGGATTTAGTCCCATGGTTCCTTTTGAGAATATGCATATCATCACTTTCTGTGTCGATTTATGCATGCCCGTACGTCTGTTGATGCTCTCAATTTGGATGAAGATTGGCAAAAGTCACTTATTTGGCTCAAGGACGAACATTATTGAAACTGGAGAAAATCGGTTCATATTTAGATATAGCACCAATATATATAGCTTCGTCCGAGATTAGGTAAATGGTGCACAAAACTCCCAATATATATATATATATATCTGATGGAGACAAAATTTTGCACAGCGTACTGAATAAGGACCAGTTTGCAATTTATCATAGATTTCAGAATGGTATGCGTATATTTTTTATTGGTTGAAATGTCTATTTAGATCATATATTATTTATGTCGCCCGATTCCATTTCAATGGTTTTCCAAAGATACTATGTATCTTCTATCTACAGGATATTGTATCCATTACCATCTCCTGTATGTATCCAAAGTGGTGAAGGGTATCATATAGTCGGCCAACATAGCGGAATCAACAGTAAAGTCATTCGAAGAAAGTTCTACTGTTTGAGGAAGAAAATCTTCCTTTGAAAAACCATGGATGACAGGGGAAATTTGAAAAAAGGACAGTAGTATTTACAAGTAAGCACGTCATAAAAGTCTATAGTAGAATGGCATATAAAAGAGGCGTACTCTTTAACACGTGCTTAAGGTTTGCGTACACTCTTTACATCCAAGCCCGACGGGGCAAGCTACATAAAAACAACATTTTACTGGTTAAAAAGCCTAACTTTATTTCTACTCAAATGCATGGAATGGACAGTCGACACTATGATGAAGATCAGCATGGGTATGTAAGCGGAGTTCAGTGGATACCGCTTTACACGTGGTAGTATACCACATCGAGGGCACCTTAGATAAGGAAATGCACACTATAGGGCTATGCATTGACATAGAAGGAGCATTGAACAATGTCGGCACTAAAACGTTTTTCCAAGGAGTTGATAAGACACTTATCATGGGTCGGTCATATACTAAGGAATAGTATATGGCAAGCTGTTCAATCCGTCGCCTTTGACCAGAAAAGCATCATCCTACACAATAATGGGATTTGTACCATTTTATGATAGATAATTGGATCGATGAAACTTATCAAGATATGATTACCTGTACATACTTTAGGACTAAACTCTCTTCGATTATAAACGGTTATTATTTTTTTTACAAACCTGTGATACGATGTGCAAAATATCACCACGCTGAAATGCTAAGCCAGCTTCTTTACACGGTATGTAGGGATCGACTTCAGGATTATAATCGAAATGTGCGCGGACACGTACTTTCGATTCACGTTGGGCGCCTCGGCCATCGGAGGGAACCAACTTAAATGTAATGGTGCCTTCCGAATTTTGCTAAAATACAATAATTTTATTAACATTGAAATATTTAAAAAAAAAATAGTAACAACAACTTACCAGTATACTTAGCACATCTCCCGGTGTTTTACCCTCAACATTAATACCATTGACCTCTATGACCTCATCGCCGACATGTATAAGTCCCGAGCGATCAGCCGCACCACCATGCATAATTCGAGCTATTATAATTTTACCCGATTCTTCGTCGGTTTTAATAGTAGCACCCTAAAATAGAATTTGATGTGAAAGTTATTCGAAATCGATTGATTATAGATATAGGTAATGAATGTACAGTAAGAAAAAAATTAGCGGTAGATATTTTGAAGATAAGAAAAATGTAAAGAAAAACATTATTCGACTATTACAACTACACAGACAAAGTACGACACAAATGTTTTAAGTGTATGTTTTTTTTTACAAAAAAGAAGAAGAGTGATTTTTGTAATAAATATTTTCCCAAAGGGAAATATATATATATATATATATAAAATCGATTAATAAACATATTGAAAAATTTTATTTAAGAATTAATGAATTGGGAATGTATTTATTTAAATTTTAGACAAAAGATCATTAAATATAGATTATAGGACTTTTTTAAAATAAAAAATCAGCCTCGATTCTGAAAGCCTTAGTCTGCAAGAACAGGCTTTCAGAATCGAGGCTGATTTTTTTGATCCTAAAAAAGTCCTATAATCGATATTTAATGATCTTTTGTCTAAAATTTAAATAAATACATTCCCAATTCATTAATAAATTCATTTTGGATCAATAAAAAAACAGTTGAACTGAACTCTTCGATTCATTATTTAGATTTTACCTTTTTTAATTTTCAATATGTTTATTATTTCTTCTCTTCTTTTTATTCACAATGTGTGTTTTTGTACAATTTCAATTTTTGTTTTTTTTTTTATATTTATTTTGTGTCCAGTGTTGTTCCACTCAATATTTTTGCTGGTTTTAGTATTCGATTTTGCATTTTTTTTTATTTTTGTTTGTGAAGGACATTTACTTACAACAATTGGTTCCGCACTTTGTGCTCCTGACTGTGATAAATATTTTTTTTTTGGATCATTTTCAATTTTTTTTATACAAATTAAAAATAAATACAAAATACAGAATGGAAAAAATAGAAACACATAACGAATTTTTGTTATATGAGTTTACATTGGAACAAATTTTGGATTTTTGTTTGTAATTCACACACAGACAATGAAAGAATGACAAATACATTTTAGGCATTTATAAAGCAATTGATAAAACCAAAAATAATGCGAAAATGTTGTAATTTTAGGACAATGAATGTAATAGAAGCAATATGCAAAGTAAATGCACAATAATATCCAGTATTTATTGATCAACTCAAAAGAAACGTA